GATCTCAGTTCCGGCAGCAATGCAGCAGAGTGCGAGTGAGAGCGTAAGTGCGACAAAGAGAATTGCGAATGTCGTGATCCTGCACGAGACTCTGGCCGGCTGTAGTCAGATAGATTCTTCCGGCTGTAGTTAGATAGACTCTTCCTTGCTAAGCCACACTGCTGCAGTTGCAATGACAATATTCAGGATAAGCGACAACAGAAAGATTGCAACGAGATAGAAACAGATGAGGATCGATAGTGGCGCTTGCGTGGAGGCTGCGGCGATGCAAGTATTCATCGCTAGATTTCTCGCCTTACTTCGTGCCCTACTGCGGTGCGAGATGCTAGCTGCTAATTTGTGTCGCGACCGAGGAAGAAGAAGAAAAAAAAAAAAAACTGTGTTGCACGGTGTACGCGTACGCAGTGCGTACGCGTACGTATTCCACCGTACGCGTACGAACCCGAAATCGCATGTCGTCGCGTACACGTACGTAAAAAAAAAAAAAAAAACAAATCCAAAAAATCTGACAAAAAATTATGTTGTGCAGAATAATGATACAAACAACCTTTACCTGGGAGTCATACCCGAATTCCCAACCAATCTTGATTTGAAAATACAAAACCTTAAAGAAAACTTTTAAATAATTTTTTTAATTATTATGATAATATTACTTTTTTTTAGTTTTTATTACTTTTTAATTTCTTACTCGAGTTAGATTGGGAAGAATATTACTTTAAAATATTTCTTATGTTGGGAAAAGTTGTTTGTATCATGTTTCTGCATAACATGTATTTGTTACAAAAGTTTGTTTTTATTTTTTATGTTTTTTTCCTAATTTTTAAAATTTTTTATTTTAATTTATTTGTGTTTTGTGTCTTTGATTTTTCACTCGAGTTATGTACAGAATTTGGGCATGAGTCTCAGGCAAAAGTTGTTTGAAATATCATTTTCCATAACATAGTTTTTTTCAGATTTTTCCGATGATGTTTTTTTTTTCCTTTTTTTTAACGTATTCCCACGTACGGGAGTACTTGAACGCGCGTACGTGTCGCGTACAGGAATACGTGTATGCGTGTACGCATAACCCGCGCACACGTACGCCGTGCAACACAGAAAAAAACATTATACCACTTCCTCGTTGTCTCCTTGCTCCTTCAGCTGATCGAGATCGATTTCGACGTCCATCTCGGCGAAAACTGTACTTGCTCCGAGTTGCTACTTGCGTACGTAGCTTCCTGCAAACTTGCGCACTACGCTGCTCTCACTGGCACGTCTGCTCAACTCGCTGATTACTACCCTTACTGTTCCTTCTCTTTATTTGTGTGAGGTTCGTTCTCTGTCTCGTTATTTTCCGAGGTGGGAAATTCGAAGTTTTCTTCGCGCGCTTTCTGGACCATGTCTCCACTTGGCGCGGCTATCTTCCAGAAGCGACTTGGGGATTCGAACCGAAGGATTCTTTCGGCAATTTCCAACGCTCGTATCAATAGCAGATACTTGGTCTTATTCATTCGTCAAAATCTCGTATGGCCTCCGCTTTTCCTGTGTTGTTTGAAGGGTTCGATTCCCACCCGACTTGTTGTTGTTTGTCATTATTAGGCCCTCTTGGCTTCCACCTGAAGGGTTAAGGAAACAGCAGCATAAACCTCAATCAACGAAAAAAAGAAAGAAAAGAAAAGTAAGGAAAAGAAAAGAAAAAATAAAATTAAAAAAAAAAAGAAAGAAAGAAAGAAAGAAAAAAAGAAAGAAAAAGGGGAAGGAGAGAAAAATGAAGAGAGGAGAAGAAAAAGAAAAGAAAAAAAGGGGGGGGGAAGAGGAAAAAGAAAAAGAAAAAGA